TGTTTAACTTCAGATAGGGTTCCAATCCCTAAGCATTGAACGTTAACCTCTTTTAAAGGCCAATTTGGGGGCCAAGACTTCTGATTAATGATGTTGACATCACTTCCTGTGTCAAAAATGCCGTTAATCACCATATTATTTACTTTAACTGGTAACTTGGGTCTATGATATTGTATAGAAGTTTGCCAAAATATACGTTTTGTATTTCCTCCTGATATAATTGATTCATCCTCTGGAGCTAATGTATTATCCAGTGCCGTATTATTTACAATGGTCAATGGATCTTCTAATTGTCCTGGGAGAGGCTATCCTCTATTGTCACTGGGAATGACCGAATAATCTTGCTTTTTGGGGCCTCAAGATTTACGTTTCCGGCTGTAAAGGTCTGCCTTGTCCATCTGTAGTCAATCTGCATTCGTTGGTCCAATGTCAGCCCTTTCTACACCTCCTGCAGAGACCAGGAGGCTGAGGACTTTTGTTTGATGCATTCCTGGTAAAAGCATTATTTCTAGGAATGTGTTGTCTACAGTTCCTGCCAGATATCCTATTTTACCACAGTTAAAGCATGTGGCATCTTTATGTCTGTTAAAATTTTTGGTGATTGCCTCCCATACCCAGGCCTCTATATGATCACGGGTAGGGTATTTGTCATCCTGCTGCCTCCTTAAGCCTGTAGAAATAGCTTCACCAACCCAAGCTCCCATATCCTGACTTTTACATTCCAGGTTCGCTGTATATAGGACCAATTATTCCAATGGTGCTGATCTTATTTTTAATGGCCAAAGTACCTGCCTGCATTGTGGATTTGCATTCTCATATGCCAAAGATTCTATAAGGAGTCTCCTAGATTCTGGATTTGCTACTTGTACTTCAATTGCTCTGGATAATCTCTCTAAAAATTTAGTGAACCTTTCCCTTGGACCCTGTACTACCTTTGTATAGGGTTGTATTATCTCTCCTGTTTCACAAACCTTATCCAAAGCATTCAAAGCAGTGGTATGGCATAAAGACAACATGTGCTCATGATGTACAGACTAAACCTGCATGTCAGCATAAGCTCCCCGAGAATCTTGTCTTGGGATGCTTCATGTCCGTTCTTTAATTCCTGAATCTCTAAGGCTTTTGCCTCTTGCCTCCATAAAGCTGTCCATTGAATTTGACAAGAATTTTCGAGCACTGCCGAGGCTAATTGGGCCTAGTCTTTTGGGGTTACTCTATTTGCAATGGCCCATGAGGTTAGGAGCTCTCTGACATAAGGATAGTGAAGACCCTATGAAACAATGGCGTCTTTGATTCCCTTTAGGTCCTTCATCTGTATAGGTTCCCATTGATAAGCAATGGGACCATTTGGGTGCTTTTTTGTTGCTGGTTTTTCAGTTACAGCTACTGGGAAAACCACAGGTGAATGCATAGCAACCTTAGGGAGATCTTTCCGGCATTTGAGAGGTGTTGGGAAACCCCTGTCCTGACCTGTTGCCTGTATGTCTGATTCTGAAGTATCAGATTGGACGTCTTCTAAAACCTGCAGTCTATTCATCATTGTTTCTCTGAGCTCTTGAAGTTCTTGGCACAAATAATTTTCTAAGAACGTCATGGAATCGTTCATTTTTTTGCATTCATCATTTACACATGATTCCAAGTATTTAATATTCTCATCCTTAGAAAGTATATCAAGGGCATGTAAACTGCCTTCCAGAAATGACGTTCTATCAGCTAGTTTGTCATTGCTCTTAGACATGGAACAAATCTTTTCTGTTAGCATTTCAATCTTATGTTCCAGTCTTTGCAGTTTGCTAGTGAAATCATCAAACATGGAACAGTTTTGTTGGTTAAACGTTTCAACATTACGTTCCACTTTTTCTATTCTGTCTGTTGAACACATTTTTCCTGAAAGTAATTCAATTTTGTGTTCTGTCTCTTTAAACCTGTTTGTCAGACCTACATTATCATTTTTAATATCCTGAATATTTTCTACCAAACCTTCCTTACTATCCTGCAAGGAATTTTCCATTTCCTGAATTCTTTGTGCTAAGATTTCATAACCATCTTGCGATGACTGTAAAACCTGTATAAGTTTGTCATATTTTGCCCTATATTTGAACCATTTCTTTAGCAAAATTATATTGATTATGAAACTAATAATCACCATCGTGGGTAGGAAGTACCTTTCAGGTAGGTCATCAACTCTTTCTGAAATCCCATCCATACAAAAAAAAAATTCTTAACATCCTGCATCATAATGTTAGTTGACATTGTATAAAGCAGTTAAGTTTGTTACCAGTGGAGTTTTATTCAGGCCAAAATCAGCAGGCTGCCAGCGAAAGAGCACGTGGCCGCGAGGGAAATCTCGGAATACCACTTAACCTTACTGGCAGGTAGAAGGTGCTGGTTCCCAGCGGCAGGAATTGTGCCTTGCCGAGGGAAGTGATGGGGAACTTAGCGAAAGGAGAGTCCACATGTGCCTGGTCGGGCCGAGGAGCAGCCGCTTTTCTGGGCGCCTGGATCCGGGTTCTAAAACTTCTGACACCAAAATGATGCTCCTACGATAAATGGCACACTTACTACATACATGCAACCTTGTGCAGATGTGTGTAGGCCCTGTGCTTGTGCCTTCAGTCTCTGTGAGCTCAAATGAGCTTTGTTCAATTGACTTATAGCGACTTGTTCTTCTGGTGTCCTCTGTCCCCTCTGGCTCTTCCTCCAGTGCTCTGAGCTCTGAGAGGAGGGCTTTGATGGATACATCCCCTTTAGGGCTGTGAGTTTCAAGGTCTCCTTCTCCCTGTAATGTTTGACCGTGGGTTTCTACTTATTTCCATCTGCAGGAGGACCTTTCTCTGACAGTGATAATCTGAATAGTCCAAATAATTTTAATTCAGACATGATAATGTCTGAGCAAGCCATTTTATTACTGCTTTTTTTAAGGACCAGCAGTATTTGGTTCTATCCTTGGTCTCTGTGCTATGTAGTCTATGTTTCTTGGTCACCCAAGCAGTATCAGGCATAATTCCATTTGTAGAGTGGGCCTTAAGTCAAATCAGACATTGGTTGGTTACTCCTGCAAGCTTCATGCCACCATTGCCTGAGCATATTTTGCAGGCAGGACAGCACTATAGGTGAAAGATTTTGTGGCTCAGCTGGTGATTATGATTCTCTTTTTGTAGCATTCAGAGTGTCTTTCCACACCCAAGACCCTAGAACATAGTGCTAAAGGTTCTGTGTAGGCACCATCTCAGCCTCTCCAGCTTAGTGAGTTGTGTGGTGTGGTCCTCAGCAATGGTGCCTGGCTGTCAGTTTATGGAGAGAGCAACCCATCGTCTTGGAAATAACATGGTTTGTTTGGGGGATTTTCCTGGAACTCTTTCGGCCAACCCCTTTATCAACTGGATGAAACCTAGTCCTGGTAATGGAAGCATTGTTTGACGACAAAAGATAGCCAGTAGGGACTCCATCTCCTTCTTTGTTTGGAGACTTCATTAGGATTGCCTTCATGTATTTAAGAGCATTTCCACAGAACTAGGTTTCCATATCACCCCTCGAGTGCCCCTCAATTCTAACTGTCTCTCCACAAATTACCTCCATCAAACCTCTCTCCCCTCTGCTTCCCCACCTGATCCTACTGTTTCAATCCCCCCTGCCTCTGGTCCATCCTTAAATTTTATTCTGTTTTCCCCTCCCAGGAAATCCATGTGTCTACCCTAGTCTCTTACTCTGTATATAACCTCTCTGGGTCTATGGGTTGTAGCTTGGCTATCATTTATTTGACAGCTTGAGGCACACCCACTATGCAGAGAAAGAGTTAATTGGGAATGGCATGGCATTTTGAAACCTTAAAGCCCACCTCTAGTTACGTGGGTCCTCTAACAAGGGCACACCTCCTAATCTTTCTTGAACAGTTCTTTCAACTTGAAATCAAGTATTCAAACAAGCCAAAAAAAATGCCCATGGGGTATTATCATTCAAGCCACCCCATCGAGGAGCAGACTGCAAAGAAGAGACCTGAGTTGAGAGGAGAGATGATGATACTTTGCAGGGCAACGATCATTGTGGTGAAGGTAGATGGAGGCCACTGCAGGACAGAACAGTCTGTGTGCTTCTTCTACAAGGGGAAAACGGAAACCAAGGCCATAGAGCTTGTTAGAGGGATACAGGCAACACCCAGAGAAGATTACTGTGAAGAACTCCAAACTAATACACTGATGGGACTTCGTTTTTGGATTTTGAAATTTCTCAGGAGTTTTCTTTCTCTGTTTTCTTCCCCAAGCCTTTCTATTTAAAGCTCTGTTTTCTCTCAGCCCTCACCCCCTTTTCCATCATTTCATTTCTTTACACATTGTTTTCACTTTGCACACTTTTTTACACGGTTCTTTATGGTGTTGGTAAGAGTAGAATTATTATGTGGACAATGTGACTCTAAATGTTTCTTAATTGGGGGCCCAGATTTATAATAGCAACAAATTTACAGGCTGTTACTCAAGTATCACAGTGATTTGACTGACTTAAAGAATTATTAAAATCACAGCATCTTTTCGTCTTTTCTTAGGTCACATTCGTGGGCTTGGGCATCCCTTAGAGCTTTCAAGGCTGTGTAAGGGAGACATGGGCATGTTCACCTCCCCACCAAGTAGAGTGGTATTCCAATATCCTATCTCTACCCTTTGTGTCCTTACATCTCATTTGCTATGAATCAGCCAGCTGTAGAGTTTGCATCTGGCACAGGAAAATTACCTTTATTATTATCATTATCTTCTAGTTTTCATTCTCTATGCCTTAGCTTATCCTCGCAAATGTTAGCTTTGATAACCCAAAATGACTGTGACAAACTAAAAGCTAACATAACCAGTAATCAAGTCAGAGTAAGCACTTTAGGTTAATAAAGTAGGATCAAGAGGCTTAATAGTAAACTATGACTTAAATGTAGTTTAAACTTAATTTAAAACTTAGTTGTGAACGATGGTGCCTAAGCCTAATGCTAGATGTGTTTTTTATGTGTTCTTTTGAAGGGACCATTCTTCTGTACTAGATATTTCCATGTTTCCATACCCAGATTTCTTCACCAAGGCAGATAAGAAATTGACAGAAATCATCGACCATCATGTAAGACTGACTTTCTTTTTTAATTAAAAATTTAAATATAATTACATTATTTTTACCCCTCCTTACCTCCCTGCAACCCTTCCCATACTCTCCTTCAAATTCATAGCTTATATGTGTTTGTTTATGTATATGCATACATATATTCTTAAATATATAAATACTACTTGCTCTGTCTGTATAATGTTAAGTGTATGTACATGATCTCAGGGCTAAACACTTGGTATTGTATTTCCCTCTTCCCTGGGGAAGTCTATTTCTCTCAATCTTAGCATTTGTTAATTATCTGTAGACTTTTTTTTGTCTGGGGTGGAAGCTCAATGATATTTTTCCCTTTCAAATCAGAGGTATACAACTTTTTTGTTATAGACTAACAGAGATTGTGTTGACCAATCAATATATTATATATCAGTCTTCTCAAAACCTAATGACTTACAAATTTCAACATCTGTATTTCATTAATCACTTCAGCAAAGTTATCTGAGATATACTATATTAGGTAACAACTTGTCAGCATTATATATAGATAGCACACTTATACACACATGCACACACACACACCATATACATACATATGTATTCAGGTGGATTTGTATTTTTAAGGCTAACAAGTTGGAAGACAATAGTGTCATAACAGAAAATGGTCAGTGAGATAGCTTCCATGAGCCATCACTCTTTGTTTTTTTTCCAAAGCTACAAGCATTGTCTAAGAACCACTGCTGTGGGTCTGCTTGTGTTATAGTGGAACAGGTACAAAACAATCCTCTCTGGAAAAAATTGGAAAATTATTAAGTCCAAATCGTTTGATATATTGTCTAATAAAACTGTTAATACTTTGTAGTTTTTAATTTGGGAAAGGTTTTGGATGTACTTTGGGGTATTGCATTATTAAAGCTTTCTTTTTTTTTTTTTTTTTTTTTGGTTTTTCGAGACAGGGTTTCTCTGTGGCTTTGGAGGCTGTCCTGGAACTTACTTGGTAGTCCAGGCTGGTCTCGAACTCACAGAGATCCGCCTGCCTCTGCCTCCCGAGTGCTGGGATTAAAGGCGTGCGCCACCAATGCCCGGCTTATTAAAGCTTTCTTGCAGATACCATTTTCTTCGAGATAAATAAGACAATAGCTATTTATCCTTATACTTCACATCCTGAAGTATAGTTAACTCAATCGTCGCAGCAGCCAGCCCTGTTAAACGTTTACCGACAGGAGCAATGGATTAGGGATCGGCATTCGATTGCTCTCCCTAAATTCTAAACTGAGTAACTCACTGAGTGCACAAGATGAGATTCCCAGGTCTCACGCTCTGTCTTCCTTCCCCCTCATCGCAGCTGACTTTAGTGACGTAATGACTACAGTCATTAAGCAGAATTGTCAAGACTGTAGGACCTGTAATGTTGAGAAGACACAAAAGCATACGCTTGTACCTTACAGGCATCGTTCTCCTTTCAAGTGAACCTACTTTGCTGAGTGGTTATCACATGCAAGGAAGGGGGGGCGGTTTGTCATCCAAAACAGATTCGGCTACTCTGTGCATTGCAGAGGTCCACAGCATGATGGCTGCATTGTTGAGTGCATGGGATGCATTGAGTAGTGAGTGGTGTTTCCATTTCCCATCAATGTCACAGTGGCACAACGAAAGTGATGATGGCAGGCGAGAGTCAAAAGAGCACACTGCGCCACCCATGTTGAAATTGTCATGCGTAGCTGAGGCAAACTGGCACGGCAATTACGGTGGGGGTGAAAATGGAAACAAGGTGTTGGTATTCTGGATTGTGACCATGCCAAGTTTGAAGAATAGGAAAAAAGAAGAAAACCTATTTTCTGGACAATAATGATGTGATGAAACCTATGAACTATTTTCATGCATGTTAATATGTTTATATATGCATTTGGGGGATTTAAGAAAATCTAGGTTTACTAGCAAATCTTAAGAGTAAATCTCACATAGGGGAAATGAGAAAAGGGGGACTCTTTAGGGACCCAGAGGGAGATAAATACAGGAGAAGGAAGAAAGATGTTAAATAATAATAGGGATGTCTGAAAAAGCCACAAGGAATCATACTATTAACTAATTACCTAAAAACCCTATAATACACACAATTCTGTGCATAAATATATATACACAATTTTAATAAACTTTTCTCATCTGGGTTGACAATGCTCCCTCTAAGAGCCAAAGGTCATCAAACAAAAGCCCCAACACCAGCCATGAGCAGCTTTCTTTTGAGTTGTTAGCTAGGATTGTCAAAGAGATCCCTCAAACACACAGTCTGTTGTTGTTCCCTTGGGTACCCCCCAAGATGTGGAAGGTAAGGTCCTATTGCTGAAGAGATGATGTGTTTCAGAAACAGAGCCTAGAGACACCCTGGCCTGCAACTGACTTGAATCCCCCCCCTCTTTGAAGACTAGCCTTCACGATATCAGAAGATATCACACAAGCTTTCAGAGGGAAACAACCAAGATTCCTACCGAGCTGTGACAACAACCAGCACGACATGTAATAGTAGGATGCAGTAGTGGCATGCATACTTTGGTAGTAGCCGACAGCTCTCTAATTGGACTTAAGACCTGCTTAACAAGAGGGAAACCACGTTTGGTACTAGAAAGCCTAGCTAACTACCCACTGCTAGTGAAGTCATGGTTATCGGAGGAGAATCTACAACTCCTACTTTAGTAACCCAGAGTAATGCCTAACAGTGTCTATAAACGTTTGTCTTTACACCCACATCCAAGGGTAGTATTCACCCTTCATGATGGAAACTTCTCTTTGTAACAGACAGAGACCAGTACATAAAACCACAGCCAATCAAAATGCAGAGCTGTGGAGCCCTGTCCCAGCTGATACATCTGTAAAATAAATGCTCATGCTCCTTTGGCTCAGGGAATTGTCTGAAGCAGGGCCAGAAGGGTTGCAAGAACCAGAGACCCAGGGAATTTGCTGTGAGATAGTGTCTTCTGGTGACATCAGAAACCGTGCCCATAAAGTCCCATGCATATGACGGTCTAAATGTGAGTTGAGCAAGGATAGCACCAATGGACATGGCAAACAGAATGGGGAGAAGCCCACACGTTTCAATCCTACTCAAAGAACTACAGGCGGCTGAGGAAGGCTGGGATTGGGAGAGGAGCAACAGTCGGGTGCCAAAGGGTCAGCCTTGAAAATACACATGCACGTTGCATCACATGGACTGAACAAGTTATATTGATGAATATGCATATATATGCCTGTAGGAGTGAACCCCACAAAGCTATCCGCCCAACAGGGTGGGGACAAGGTAGAGATAAAAGGAAGTGGAAGGAAAAGGGGCTTCCTTTTTCTCCTGGAAGCCAGCCACGCTTCTAACTCCTGGTCTGTGCAACTCTCTCTCTCTCTGGTAAATATATTGTTTTCCCTATATAGCATCGAACATCGTTATATATGTTTTATGTGTATATAGTAACAATTAGTCAAAAAGAGGCCATTAGTTGGCAGGAAAGCAGGGAGAGATATATGGTAAGTTCTAGAGGAAGGAAAGGGAAAAAGAAATGCTATTTATGTTATAACAAAAAAAACCCCAGATTTTTGCTTTAGTCCCAGCACTCGGGAGGAAGAGGCAGGTAGATGAATCTCTGTGAGTTGGAGACCAGCCTGGTCTACAAGAGCTAGCTCCAGGACAGCCTGCAAAGCCACAAAGTAACTCTGTCTCAAAACCACCCTCTCCCCCAAAAAACAGACTTCTAATAAATTGTTTTAAATGAGACAAATAAAAAGAAGAGTTAATTATCACTTTTGAAACCTGCCTGTCCTTTGGCCTCAACTTTTGTTTGTCACCTCTGGTTAGGGAACCACCTCTACTTCCACCCAGCCCCCAGGTCAGTCTAGTGTGTCAGGAAATGGGTTGAGAATCAAGTCCCATGCCTATCCTCTTTTATCCCCTCTGGGCTCTTCATTATTTACATATTACCATGGCCACCTGTGTCCCTCATTTTTCATATCTTTATTTCCCTCTGTATTTATCATTCCTTTATATCTCCCAAAGAACATCAGCTCACCTGGTTTGCAACTCCTTTGATGAGACTGTCTGAGAAATATACTGTCCTACATTGAGTGTATAACCTTACCTCTCTCTTTTTGGTGTACTTTTATGGAAATTCCATATTGCCAATCCCCATTCTATCTTTCCTTCTAGCAATTTCTTCCTCTGCTTCCTACATACAGATGAGCTATTAATAAGCATTCCCACCATGATTTACTCCTCCTCTTTATTCTCTATACTCACAACAATTAACATACCAGTGCATAAGTAGTAGTGGTGTCTCTTTACTCCCCATAACAATTGGTACTCAAGGAATGAGTACCGTATTGTAGTCAACTGATGCTCCATTTTCCTGGTGGGTTTCTTGATGGACTGCAGCTGTTGTAGCAGAAGAGCACTCAACATCGTGCAGTGAGGTTGAGGATAGAGCCTGGCTCCCTAAATAACAGACTGAAAGACGAAATTGTCATCTCAACTCTACTAAAATCTGGTATCTCCTAAAATCTGCAAACATCTCCACTAAAAGTATAAAAGCCATCCAGATTAAACAGCAAATGTTAACCAACCACTGGTCTAACCCCAGATGGGTAGGTCCCAAGGTTAAAAACACAGGGAAGATGAAAAACCAGAGCAACTTATGTCTAACACCTACCGATCTTGTAGTAATGGCCCTGCATGAAGACTATCCAGATAAAATTCCGAGCAATTGAAAAAGAACAATGATAAGTATCTCTTTAAAAAACAACGTGATGGCTGGTGGTGGTGGTGCACGCCTTTAATCCTAGCACTTGGGAGGCAGAAGCAGGTGGATCTCTGTGAGTTTGAGGCCAGCCTGGTCTACAGAAAGTTTTCTAGGGCAGCCAGGACTGTTACACAGAGAAACTCTGTCTCACAAGACAAAAACAAACAACAACAACAAAAACAAACAAAAAACTTGAAGAGAACACCAAAGTATTTCAAGAAAACACAAATAGCTACTTTAAATGAAGAAGTCAATTCAAGAGAGAAAAACAGAACTCAGTAACTAGATAGGATCGCTGAGGATGAACCGAATGAGAGTAATGATGGGAATGAATGATGCAAAAAAGATTAAAACATTCAGTGGGAAGCCTCAGTGACAGAATGAATCGCGTGGAAGACAGAATTTCAGGGCTCAAACACAAGCCAGAGAGGTCAGATGGCTCTGTCAAGGTTAATGGTAAACTTTTTAAAGGGTGTGAATGGAATTTATAAGATATTTTGGCTACCATAAAAAGGTAAAATTTATGTATTATCATCATAGAATGAGAATAACTTCATGCTAAAAGAATAGAAAATATTTTGAACAAAATCATAGAAGAAAATCTCTCAAATCTAGAAGATGCCCATCCAGAGACAAGAGGCTCACAGAACACCAAATGGATACAACCAGAAAAAGAAACTCACCATGTCATATCACAGTTATAACACTAAATGAACAGAACAAATGTGTATTGAAAGCTGTGAGAGAGAAATACCAAGTCATGTGTAAAGAGAGGCCCATCAGAATAACTTCTGTCTATTCATTGGAAGCCTTAACAGTCAAAATGAATTGGCAGATGTACTTCAAATTCTGTAAGATTAATGCTGTCAGCTCCACCTAATGTACAAGGTAAAACCATCATAATTGAAGAAGAGACAAAAGCTTTCCATGGCAAGAAGAGATTAATCATCATGAAAGTTCTACAAAGAATAATAGAAGGCGTATTTAAGATTAAAGAGAAATATAAACATACCCAAGAAGCTACAAAGAATGCTAAGACAGTCATTAAACAAAAGAGCACTAAGAAAACAACGAAAGGACATTCTTTGAAGTACCTCCAGGAGCCATGCGGTGGTGGGTGGTGCTGGGGCTTGAGAAAGAACCCACAGAGGGGGACACACTCCCCAGTGGCTACGGGACCTCCCAGTGAGAGGACCTGTGTGGCTGAGAAACAGGCACCAGGGACAGCACAGAAAAGGGCAACAACTGTACGTGTAGCAGCCACAGCGATGCCTCTGCTGGTCATCAAACCGAAACAGATATAAATATGGGCACACCAGAGAAGACCTTTGTACACGTAAAGACTGTGTACAACACTTGTGTTCCCGCGCTGGTCATCAAACCGAAACAGATATAAATATGGGCACACCAGAGAAGACCTTTGTACACGTAAAGACTGTGTAAAACACTTGTGTTCCCGTGCTGGTCAAAGTCTGAGAATCTACCCTGGAAATAAATGTAAAGAATATGATGAAAACTTCGACTTTACGTACAAACATCAGATAATTCATAGTGCAGAGAAGACCCGGAAATGCAAAGAACCTGGCATTGCCTATAACACACTGTCGTATTTTAAAATAAATCCATTTCAGAATCCATGCTGGAGGGAAATCTTAAAAATGTTAGGGATGTGAAAAATCCTTTACCAATTAATCATGTCTTAAATCACCACATTCAAAAATCAATACTGTAAGGAAACATCATACATGTAAAGTATGTGATAAGTCATTTCATTATTTGTCAGACCTTAAAACCCATTAGAGAACCCATACTGGACAGAGACCTTACGAGTGTTGAGAATGTGACACATCCCTTGCCAGCGGACTGGAGCAGTCACACAGGAGAGAGACCTGACAAATGTAGAGAATGTGACAAGGAGTTTTCTCCATTGTTTGGTGTTGGAGACCATTACAGAGCCCACGCTCTAGACAAATCTTATGAATGAGAGTGAGGGTAATAAACACTTTACCGGTTCCTCAGATCTTAGTGTCTATTAGAGGACTCACGCAGGAGTGAAACTTTACAAACGCTGAGATTGTGACAAATGTTTTGCAATGCCCCCGAAACAGTGCACACCAGAGAATTCATGCAGGGGCAAACCCTTACATTATAGTGGATGGGCCAGATCTTGTAAGGGCTAGACTATCAGGAAGTCTCCCGTGGAAAGTCTCTCCTGGAAGTGTCTGTGTATACAGGACCAGATCAATGGCAATATCAACTGAAATCCTAACAGGAAAGGCCAAAATGTTGCAGGGGTTTCCCACTCTTAGATAAAGAATTACAGACAACTAAAGACGGACGGGGGAGGGGAATCAGCCTCATCCATCATTGGTTAGCCAATGCAGAGTGGTTCACCTTAAAGCCGTATAATTACAAACAACAAAAAATGGGTTCGGCACGTTGTGTTCGTGTATTTTTGCACACATGCGCGAGCACACACACACACACACACACACACACACACAAAACATGTAATATTCAAGGAGGCAATCACCTTGGGAGTGGGATGGAGACATAGGAGGGATCCAAGGGAGGGGGACTTGGAAGGATGGAGGGATGAAATGGAGGGGCGAGTAATGGAATTCTCTTTTACTTAAAATAATTTGTGTGTGTGTGTGTGTGTGTGTACTAAGGATTAGGAGATGCACAGCAAAAAGATATCTCTGGTCATAGCCATTGGGTTCATGTCATCATGGTTACCTGCACAAGATTAACAGAAGATCACAAGATTGGGCTTTTCACATTTCATTATATACTAGTCCTCACGTATCCTTGAGGGACAGTTACTGAGGATGGGGTGTCATTTCCCTCGGTGGGATAGCCTCTAATAAATTACCCTTGCTCTAGTAAATGAGCTTTGACCCATGTTTGGGCAGGAAACTGGTTAAACTCAGTGGGTCACACACAGGAAGCAGACATGAAAGTGTGGTGACGGACTCCAGCTGGACAGGGAAGGGGATGAAGAGGGAGTGGGGTACATGCAGCAATGACTGGAATCCATGCAATAAGTTTGTGAGACAGGCAGGCAATAAACATTTTAAAAGGCCAAATATAAAACATAAGACTTTATATGTGAGAAAAAGTATCTGTTGCTGTTGGCCATCACAGATTTAGAAATTAAATGAATTTCAGGCTGTGCCTGAATATCATGGATGTTTCTACCGCAATTTTCAGTGCATTTAATCCAAAAACTATTTTATGAGAAACTGAATATATAGTATTGACATGCAGATAATATCTCAAGAAACGTGACAGAAACTTGGTTCTTGTACCATTAAAATTTAAACAGGCCACATACTATGAGTGTAAGTTGTTATGCTTTAGAGTTAATGTTTACTAAAGTGAGTATTTCAGCATTTTTCAAAACTGTATTATTGTCAGTAGGGCTGAATGGCGCTGTGAGCTGACCTAACAGTGACAAAGAGAACAGTGCCAGCAGGATTCGTAGGTGTTTCCAGCATATTATGCCAGGAGTGACTCCCCTCTGGATTGTTTGCTCAGACTTACTCAAGAGGGTCCCTAACCTTAAACCTCACCATAACCCTCACCTTAACCCTCACCCTAACCCTAACCCTCACCCTCACCAACCCTAACCCTAACCCTCACCCTAACCCTAACCCTAACCCTAATCCACAACCTAACCCTAACCCTAACCCTAACCCTAACCCTCACCCTCACCCTAACCCTAACCCTAACCCTAACCCTCACCCTCACCCTAACCCTAACCCTAACCCTAACCCTCACCCTAACCATAACCCTCACACTAACCCTAACCCTCACCCTAATCCTAACCCTAACCGTCACCCTCACCCTAACCCTCACCCTAACCCTAACCCTAACCCACACCCTCACCCTCACCCTAACCCTAACCCTCACTCTCACCCTAACCCTAACCCTCACCCTCACCCTAACCCTCACCCTAACCCTAACCCTAACCCTCACCCTCACACTAACCCTAACCCTAACCCTCACCCTCACCCTCACACTAACCCTAACCCTAACCCTAACCCTAACCCTAACCTCACCCTCACCCTAACCATAACCCTCACACTAACCCTAACCCTCACCCTAATCCTAACCCTCACCCTCACCCTCACCCTCACACTAACCCTAACCCTAACCCTAACCCTCACTCTCACCCTAACCCTAACCATAACCCTCACCCTCACCCTAACCATAACCCTCACACTAACCCTAACCCTCACCCTAACCCTAACCCTAACCCTCACCCTAACCCTAACCCTCACCCTAACCCTAACCATAACCCTCACCCTCACCCTAACCCTCACCCTAATGCTAACCCTCACCCCAACCCTAACCATAACCCTCACCCTTACCCTCACCCTAACCCTCACCCTCACCCTAACCCTAACCCACACCCTACCACCACCATCACTGTAACCCTCACCCTAACCCTAACCCTCACCCCAACCCTAACCCTCACCCTAACCCTCACCCTAACCCTCTTAACTATTTCCTCCGCCAACTGTGTTATAAGGGGGTAAGTTCCTCAAAGTGTTTTGTTCTTTCTCACTAGTCCAACCCTGATTACACCTTCCTACCTCTCACCATGGTCTCCTACAGTGAGGAAGTTGTGTGTCTATTAATTTCACTTTCAACCTCGTTAGGAATAATATGACTGTACCCTCTCATATGTATTTTACAACATCTGTTTTGCTCATTTTATAACATATGCTGTCATGGAAATATCGATATTGAACAAGACAGCAAAATGCTCTGGGATGTAGAAACAAATCCTACTTTCAGGAGGAAATTCTGTTTCCGTGGATCATGTGTGTGTTTGTGCAGTTTCCAAATATGCTAGAGTATACGAAATCCGAGGAATGCCTCTGCAAGCCAGCGGATGCGCATAACAATGCGAATTTGAGAGGCTGCTTTGACATGTGCTTCTTCATCGAAAATAACATGTAAATGAATTATTGTCTCTGTCACAGTGGCAGAAAGAAACGGAGGCCCGGCAGCAGGAGGAAGAAGCCTGTGAGGCCCAAAGACGTTCTGACGAGGAGAAAAAGGCGAAAACCCGCTTTCAAGAAATTATGAAGCAGAGAGAGAAGAAACTGAACAAGAAAACCAAACCCTATGAAATCCCGTCCTTGGAAAAAGAAGATGACCTGGAAAAGGAAAGTGGGTTCCATGGGCCAGGACCGGAAACGACAACCCTAGCTAAGTGAGCTATGTGGTAGGAACGCATTCTTAGAGTTAACTTGAGGCCCTTCTTAAAAAGGAGTTATCTTGGTACTGGTTAGTAGTCACAGCGTAGTCTTATGTTAGTAGTCGAGTTTTCTCCACACTTAGGTGAGGTGTGTTCACCGGCTGTCCCTGTCTCCCCTCGTTCTGGTGAAGCTGCTTCAGTTGCTGTCTGAAGAGACTGAACTGAAGATTAACTAATGAGCTGGGGGAGGGGTTAAGGGGAGAACAAGAGAATTGCTCTTGAAAGCATGAGTGAATGTAATCTTGTGTCCTTTGAAAGCTTTTATTTCAATAAAGAAGTTATGGTGCCTCTGTATTTTACCATCTGTATCTTTATCATCAAGTGTTGAAGAAAGAAGCCCCATGCTTTGGAGTCATTTGCAAGACGAAACTCCATTGCAGAAGACCAGTTAATTGTGTGTTTTATGAGCTTTTAACTATATCCTTAGACTCCTCCTACCATGCGCCCATGCAAACCCAGATTTTCTCTCATCCTACTACTCATACCACGGTCTCATTAAGGCCACCATTGATAGGAACTTCATGAAGCTTCAGCTGTTCTTTAATTGGTACACGTGGCCACTGAGCTATAAAATGTAGGAAAGGCATTTGGATAGTTTAACTGCTGTTTATAAGAATTGCAGTTAATCCTTCTGTTTCTGTATCACCCTTGTGGAAGAAGCTGGTCCCTCCCTTTCTTAATCTTTCTGGCATCTGAGGTCTGTTCTGGTTCCCTTGGAGACTTTTGTTTACTTTTCTCTGTTACAGTTAGTCTTAACTCTTCTTACTCAGCTGTCCTCACAGTTTTGTAATTCTCTCGATATTTCTAACGTGCTATCATCTTTTATCCTCCCACATTCATAGCTTCGCTACCATAGTCATTGTGACTTGGAAAGAAGCAGAAATAGCGTCTTTCTGTTAACAGATAGAAAATGATACAGGGAAATATTAGAAAAGAGGGAGATGATTATAACTCTCACATCTTTCTTCTTAAATTACATTTTAGAATCTGAGAGCACACATTTCTTACAGTTGCATTTTTTTGTCTCTGATTCCTTCTGAGATATTAGCAACTTTATGCTTATAGATCCCGATTCATACTCTAGATTTGATATATGGTTTCCCTGAACTAGTAGACAAGTTAATAACCCACTTGTATTTAAATTTATTCATTTTTAAGGTAGACATAATTAGGTAAAGATTGACATAGACAAGATCTAAGCAGAAAAACAAGGTTGTCAATAATTTTAACAGAGAGGATTTGATATAAAGAATTGATTTTAAAATTTTATGTGTGTATGAGTGTGTGTGTGTGTGTGTGTGTGTGTGTGTGTGTGTGCGCGCGCGCGCCCAAATAAGCTTATGGGCACCATATTAATAAAAGTGTTCTTGGCGACCAGATACAATGCTGGATCCCCTGGAACTAGGGTCTTAAGCAGGTGTGAGCCAGGATATGAGCCCTGGGAACTGAAGCCAGGTCCTTTCTGAGAACAGTAAGTGCTCTTAACTGATGAGTCATCTCTCTGGTTCCAAGAAATTGTTTTAAAAAAGATGTTTTAGAACTGAAGTTAATGAAAGGGGAATACATAAATAACTCAGAATGCTCACCCCGTAGATCCATGAACTCAAAAACACTTGGGCAATTAGGGTTCTGGAGATGGGAGGAGGAGACAGCTCATGGGAGGACTCCGGCCTCTGTAGAGGAGACTGCCCTCATGTTGCTGGTGCCACAGAGGGTCACAGTACATCTGGGTTAGGGACCACAGACAAAGAAATCATCAAAAGAGGAACAAAGTGAGTGTGCTGCCAGTGAAAGCAAAACCCAGAAACATTCAGATCTTTTCTTCTTCTCAATTACCTTCCAACTGTTGCTTCCCAGCATCACACAAAAGCAGAGCGATGGGTTTAGAATTGACATTATCAAATGACTAGGAAACACATATGGCACAATGCCTAGAACACTCCTACAGTGTGAGGAACTCTCCCTCCTTTTGCTAAAATATGTTTGTAGTGTAATTTGCCTTCAATGTTTGCTGCCAGTCTGAAAGATCAAATGAAGGTTTTCAAGAATTCATTGGTTATGGATTTCCTGTAGGTCTCTCCTAGTAATCGTCAAGATACAAGAATACGGTTTCCACACAAACTAGATTGTAGCTCTTCACGTGGTTGCAAATGAGATACAAGATTCTTGGTTAGTTTCCCCGGAGGACTAGAACTCAAAGATGTGTGTTGCTGAGGACGCAAATAGAGCAAGCAAGAGTTTATTCCGAAGCACAGCATAAAATGTGCACTTCTCCTCTTCTGATTATGAAAGTGCAGGTTCAGTTGACCTGCGAAGGTTTGGAGGGACTCAAGAGATAAGTTTTAAGAAGAAACGACCACCAAAAATACACGACCCCAGCCTTGGCTAAGTGGTGAGGTATGGAACAGCAATGTGGAGGTAAGCTTCAAAGGTAACAGACATTAGTAATCTAGAAACTCCATGGGAATATATAGGTGCTGTACTTGAAGTTACTGATTCTTCTCTCCTAATCAGTGACACTATGTCACCTTTTAAGTTTGTATTATCAACAAATTCAAAGGAAGTTTCCATATGTCATCCATAAGTTCTTGGACCATGTTACTTAGGGCCCTTAAAGAAGTGGGCAGATTCCCTTCCTCTAATGTGCCACCATAATTATATTGTCATGTTCGCATCTGTAGTGCTATGGGACATCTTTATCTGCTGTTACAGATGGGTAATTATTTAATATGTGGGGTTTTCTGTGTATCTGGGCTGTTAAACTACGCTTTTCACTTCCTTACAGTAGAGGTTAGTAACGCTCCACCCTGCCCTCTCAAATACTCTGTGTCCAGCTGTGACAATCAGAGGTCCTTTGGAAATCATCCAAGCACTCCAGGGTGAGAAAGACTGGGTTGGGTCTCATGAGTGTACCCTCATCTCATCTGCCTTTGCTGCAGGGGGGACGTGGGTTATAACATGGGAGCTTCAAACACAGTTTTCTTTACGTGTTAACTATTGCATACATATAAACCATGTATCGTGCTTTTACTTACCCCCAATTAGGCTCTGTTATCCTCCTCCTATGCCTCCTGGCTTTTCTTGCCAGCTAGTCCTATCCCACATATATGTCCTTTTCTTTTTTTTCTTTTTCTTTCTTCTGGTTTGGACATGCTGAGTTTAACTAGGATTGCTTAGGTGAATGTGAATAGAAAGGTTACTGTTGAAATATGGGCAGTGGCCACACCACTACAAAAAGTAACCATCTGCTCCAGTCACAGGTAATAGCCAATAACTACATAGAGAGGGCGGGGCTCATGAGCACCCCTCCCATCTGTGATAAAAAGGACTAAGTCTCATGTACATTTTAGGGAGGTAGCCATAGCTTCTGTGTATTCACGGTTGTAATAATGGTGCCACATCGAGAAGAGAGTGTTTCATAGCCTCCCTCCCCAACTTCCGGCCCTCGCAACCTTCCCAGATCTGTTTCTGCAATGTTGCCTACATCTTGAAAGGGGTTGTTGTCCTGACCCGCAAAACATTCAATGTGGGTCTGGTAGACACCTAGGAGAAAGATGGAGGACAGGGGGATACAAAGAATTGATGCCAAGACAGGATTCTGATCAAGGCGACAACTTATTTCATCCCAAAGGGATTTATATAGGAGAAGCGAGGAGGGGAAGGGGGGAAGGTGTACTTGCAGCTGCAGGGGCAAGAGGTCAGTGGGAGAGGTGGTCTGTTGCGTTGCCTGGCAACCTAACCTACAGGGCAAGGGGTCAGGGGTGGGACCTTCTATGTTGTTTGCTAACCTGACAGCAGGGTCAGATCCTATCTGTTACAATTTCCTATTGCTCAGGCCTATCTCCCGAGGACCTTGTAGTTTTCCAATTACGCTAGACTTTAACTGACAGATAATCTGTAGGCCTGCTTCTTGGAATTTGCTTTATGTCAGAAGGGGTGGCAGCGTGGTCTTAGTGTCACATCTTCTCTATGAGTACGTGATACAGCCTAGTTGACTGATGGCTGGAGGTCCCCGACAGGCTGGAACAGAGGTCCCACTTAGGGCTAGGCACTACACAGTCTCTTAATCTCAGGAATTTGACCATTTCTGAGTCGGCATTAACTTTCACCTGCTGCAAGCTGAGCACCTGGCTATGTGCATAAACATATTTGGAAGGAACGTTGACGACCTATTGTTGGGGAAGTCTTATGTCAATAAAGTACTGTTGAGCCTATAGGGAACCAAGATAGGAGGGATTAGGAGTCCAGGAGAACTCTGGGAAGGAGAAACACAAGAGAGTCGAGATGTAACGCCACTGGGGTAGGAAGCCCGGAAACCTCTCCGGTAAGAGACATACTTAGATTAACAATTATGGGGTAATTACTTAAGTCAGAGCTAGCCAGTAAGAAACAAGCAAGGCCAACAGCTTCATAATTAATATAGCTTCCTGTGTGTTATTTGGGGACTACATCTCGGCAGAGCCCAGGCGGCTGGCGGGGGATAAACCAAAGCGGCTAGCAAAGAAAAAGCTTCTTTTAACAACCTATCCATTTACAGGAAGAACAGTGGTAAATTACACCCCAGGACCTTTGGCTTTGACCAGGGTTATAGCACATCTACTTTTTCTCCTGGGAAATGAACTTCAAATAGAATCAGGGAGCGGTTAGTCACTCCCCACCCCCAGGCATTCATACTGCTACTGCACCCGTGCAGGTGACATGCTTAATAGGTTAGTGTTGCAGCGTGCAGGGACCACAGCTTGTTAAAAATGTTGACTTTACCCCTCCAGCAGCCAGAATAGCTCCTTTATAACTGTGGACACTAGTAAGTGGGGCAAGACTTCTTTGCACACCATATCCAAAATGTATCTTTAGCAATGAGGTATTATAATCTAATTTTGATGGGGGAGCTATGAGCAACAGCAATAGCTTGTATTGTTCTGGGACCTCCCAGCCCTTCCTGGAGATAAACTCATATGGAGGTCTCCTGTACTTGGCATTGGGATTTTATTTAAAGACCAACAACCTCCGTTCAGATTCCCTTTCAAGAGTTACAGTGTTACTTAATCGTACTGTTTAGTAGTAGGTTTCTGTATGGATTTACTATGAATCCTCAGCCCTCTCCCACATGCCTTCCCCTCATCCTACTCTCAGACAAACCTTTACAGATCTAGTGTTTTCCCCTTCTTCTTTCATGGCACATGGGTCTTACTGCCCGTCCCCCCAGCTGAAGCGCACCCCCAGAATCATTTCTTACTTCCCGGCCGCTATAGACACTCACACACAAGCTTGACAATAAGAATATAAAAATTCAAAGCTAGGATCGTCATAGAAAGAGGTAGCAGATGGCGTTTTTCTTTCTGGGCCTGGGCTGCTTCGACGAGCTTGATATTTTCCAGTCCAATCCATTTTCTTGCAAATTTCACAGTTTCATTTTTTCCTCTTAAGTGTGGAATAAAATCCCATTGTATATACATACCACACTTTCATTATCCATTCTTCAGCTGACGCATGTCTAGTCTGATTCCATTTCCTAAATCCAGTCATTAGAGAGAGTGACGATGAATATGGATGAGCAGGTATCTCCTCTGTGGGGTGCAGACGCTGGGCGTATTCCCAGGAGTGGTACATCGGAATCATATGGAGGTTCTATTCTTACACTTTTGAGACACATCCAGACTAATTTCTATAGTAGCTGTCACCAGTTTGCACTCCCACCAACGGTATATTAAATTTCCTTTGGCCGCATCCTTGCCAGCATTTGTTGACATTTATATTCTTGATGGTGGCTGTTCTGACTGGAGTGCAATGGAATCTCAAAGTGGTTTTCGTTTGCATTCCCCTGACAGATAATGACTTTGAACACCTTTAAAAGTATTTGTTAGTCATTTGCATTTCTTTGAGATTTCTCCATTCAGTGCCATAGATGTTTTCTTGTTTTGGTTGGGTGGATTTTAGTTTTTTTAATGCTTAGTTTGTGTGTGTGTGTGTGTGTGTGTGTGTGTGTGTGTGTGTGTGTGTGTGTGTGTGTGTGTGTGTGTGTGTGTGTAGTCTACCCATTAATCTTATGTCAGATGTATAGCTAGCACAGACTCTCTGTGTCTTCACTAACTTTACCTTGCGGTACAGAGACCTTTGAGTCCCATGAGGCCCCACTTGACAAATTATTGGCTTTAGTTTCTGAGCAACCAAAGTCCCATTGAGGGTGCCCTTATCTGTGTCTGTATCATGCAGTGTACAACCCAGTTATTCCTTTAGCAATCATAGAGTTTTGGGTCTGATGGTGAGGTCCTTGATCCATTTGTAATTCAATTTATATGCGGGAAGAGAGACAAGCATCAAGTTTTGTTCTTCTATCTGTAGGTATACAGTTTTTCACACACCATTTGTTAAAAATGCTATTTTTTTCCTCCACTGCAATTTTGTTTTTCTCTTTGAGAAAACAAAACAGATGGCTCTCGTTGCATGGACTGATCTCTGTGTCCTCTGCTCTATTGTATTGAAGTACATGTCTTTTTTTTAAAGTTGGGTATTGAGGTTTTTATTTTGCTAACAGAACTACAAGGAATTGGGCCTGTGGCTGCCCTGGGGATAGAAGCAGAGGTACCTAGGCTCCAGACCCTAGGCGGAAGGTGAAGCCAAAGAAACAGTAACTTGGACTGATCATATGATTACTGAGCTGGGATGCCCAGCTCTGGATGATCAGACAAAGCTTTGGGTCAGTGACAGGAGAGGGTGTCAACTACAGAGACCAGCACTGGGCCAGCCTAGGGCTGCTGGATGACATCAAGAATAGGGTCGAAGCAGCTAGTGGGGACTGCGGCCTCCAAGAATTGCCAACCCACAGTTCGCTTGGTCAGAGGAATTTGAAGACCTGCCAGCAGACTAGGCCTTGGGTCCAGTTCCCCCTTGACTCTTAGGATCTGATTATACTTTGCCAGTCGCTCAGGTCGGCACAGCACGCCGCCGCCGCCGCCTCTGCCGATGCAGGAAGACATGCACACTTACCAAGCCAGTGCATTTCACTCTGAGCACCAGCCAGCGGCAGGGCTTTCTCTTCCACAGCCCCAGCCAGCCGTCCTCTTAGAGTTGGTCAATGTGGGATCACCCCCAACCACCTGGATGCCTGGAACTAGCTGTGAGCATCTGCCACACTTCCCAGTCACCCAGGTTGAAGGAGTCTCCAATGGACATCCCTGGATAATCCAGGATTAGGTATGACCTCCTGGTACCTTCAGGAGGTTTGACTCCAAGGTGTTATTTTTCCAAACCTGAAGAACTCAGAGGCAGTCGTGTCCAGGCCAGTGATGACCTGGTCAGAATAGCAGGTCTTCCCAATCAGCAAGTGCCAGCCTTCTTTGTGCCCTAGGTTGTCAAGTGCAAACCTACTCCCCAGACACCGTTGGTGGCATCTTCCACGCATCTCTCCTTGATGACTTTCTTCAGGTTGTGGTAGACTTCTACTGCAATGTTCATGGCTTTCCCGAAGCTGAACGACTGAATGCACCCACAGGGGATATCGTGAGCTCTTGCATGACCAGCTTGCTGTCTGCATGAGCGCCATTGTTGATCACATTGAAAGCTAGGGTAGCAGGGTGACTGTGGGGTTTCCATCCAAGTCAGCGATGTGATGGTATGGGGCACAAGCTTCTCCATAACACTAGCTTTGCAGACAGCAAAAGATGCTTTAAAGATGACATTTACATCAAACTTAGAATTATTTCCAGTCTCAGAGATGTCAATCAACATTTGTGAACCTTCTCCTGTTCGGTATTCAGTTTCTTGTTAACCAAAGCAGGTGCAATTTTTTTATGTGCATTAGTGTTTTGCCTGCACATATGTCTCTGAGGGTGTTGGGTCCCTAGAACTGAAGTTACAGACAGTTGTGAGCTGCCATGTGGGTGCTGGAGACTGAAGCCGGGTCCTTTGGAAGAGCAGTCAGTGCCCCTATCCACTGAGCCATCTCTCCAGCCCGCAAATTTTTTATATGCTTGACAGCCATTGTCTCAGAGTTCCAGAGACTCACAGATTCCAGATGATGCACTACTGGGGAAGGCAGCTCAGAATAGACCTCTTGAGGTGCAGAGGTCAATCACAATAGTGGGATTCCCACAACTGTCAAAGATGTCTCTAGTGTGGGTTTTCAGAATGGATATAGGATATTTCTGGTGTCTGGATTGTGGTGGAGGAAGAGGAGAGTGTTACAGATGTGAGGAGAATGTTAAGGGGAAAGTTGTAAGTGCCCAACTTTTCTAGCAGCTCCATCATGATGTTTGTATTACTTTGACCCTGTAGTATTATTTGCTGTCAGATATATGAATGTATCTAACAGTTTTTGTTGTTGTTCAGGATTGCTTCGGGTATACAGGGTCCTATGTGTCCCCATATGAATCTATTTTTTGTGAAGAACCGAGTTGTTATTTTGATTGAGGTTGGATTGAGTCTGTAAATTGCTTTCAGTTGGATGGACATTTTCATAATATTGACTCTTCCTATCCATGAGTATGGGATGTCCTGCTCAATTCCCTTCTTCAGTGTTTTAGATATCTTAATTGTAGAGGTCATGCATTACTTGATTTATTGTGAGGCTTTTACTCTTCTTAGGGCTGTTGTGAATGGGACTGTTTCTCTGATTTTCTTCTCAGCCTGCCGTTGGTATATTGTAAGGGTAGTGCTTTTTGAATACTAATTTTGTGTCCTGCTATTTTGCAGGAAGTGTTCATTATTAGCTCCAGGAGTTTTCTGGTGGGGTCTGATTCTATAGTTTGATTTATTGTTGTTTTGTATTTAATTAATAACGCCTTTTATCACTCCTCTGTGCTGAATGCGAAGAGAGACCAGCCCGGTGGTAAGGAAGCCAGTCTGCTCAGCCTTCAGCTTGGCTCCTGGAGACCTGTGCTTTTGGGTAACTTTGGATTAACCCTGTTTTCTCTGGCAAAGAATGTGTGTGCAAATGGGGAAAGTGCACTTTAAATTATTATTTTGTATGAAATAAAATGCATAGGCTTGTGCAGTTTTGCAAATTCTGATGATTTGGTTGCTTCTGGGCTACATGAATTTTTCATGGTAACACAGATTTCGAGGGTAATTTGGCTCTAATGTTATTCAAGCTCATTCTTTCCTGCAGTCATTTTAGCTGAGGGACACATTTATATAACACCTAATGCCTTGTTTCTTTAAACTTCTTCATTGAACAGCCTAAAACAAACAAACAAACAAACAAAAAGAAATGTGTCCTAAGGTGGTTCCTTGGTGATGGGCATTTTGGCAACCAAGTTTTCAGTCTGATGTCCCAAACTGAGTCTACTCGGGGACGGGGATGGACTTTTATGAAGTGACTAAGGTAAAGGTCAGGCATCTCAAGAGTCGGTGCAGTTTTAATAATATCCAGATGACTGCAACGCAGGAATGTTTTCAATGGTGTTTCAAATAATGAAAAAGAAAAAAAAAAAGAACATTTGGAGAAGGCAATCTGTTTGTCTCCAGCCTTATTTTCTCTTGCCTTCCCAATGAAAAGTTTCCTACTCAAAAATAATGAATAAGAAAAAGGAAGGCAGAGTTTCTTCTACTCATTACCAGAAGAGAAGTTGTGGGAAGTTGAATAAAGATAAGTTTAAGGGTCCTTGCTACCACAACCTTTACCTCAGGGGAAGCGGGCAGGGTGTGAGGTAGAAGCATCTGGGTAGCCAAGGATTAGCGGGCTGGCTCCATCAGCCCCTGCACTGCTGAGGACCGGGTGAGTCGCCGAGACAAACACTGAACACAGCCATTTCCTAGGATGCCCCTGTGAGGGGTAGTAATGACAGACAGTAAACTGCCAGAGAGAGTTGGTTCCCTTTTGAGCTTGTCAGTGAGGAACTGAGGTTCATTCAGTGTGCAGAGGAGACCGGAGAGGAACCACGGGACACAGGGAGCCTTTCAGGACCCAGACCTTTCCCAGACTCCGCCCCACCCGGCCCGCTCACCTATGATCTTGGGAGAGATAATAATGGGAAAGGGAACATGAATGATTAAATCCGTTTTTCAAAGAAAACAAGTTACTATTTGAAGAGTCTCTTCATTTCCTGGGTTCGGTTAATTGTGAATCTGAGCTCCTAAACCTAGTTTTTGCCCCGCTTCAAGAGTACCACTAGCAGAGGGAAGCTCGTGAGGAAATCAGAGTGTTCTCACAACACTCACTCCGAAGATGGCAGGTTTTCTTTTGATATTTAAAGTGCAATGTGAAATTAAATTTGCTTACTTGCAATGTGTGCATGGAACTAACGTTGACACACATCTACACACGAATGGATAGAGATCTGTGTCTAAACATCTGTACGTTGGTCTGTGTCTAAACATCTGTACGTTGGTCTGTGTCTAAACATCTGTATGTTGGTCTGTTGCATTTGTTGATTCAAAAACGTTAACTGGTAGTCCCTGGAGATACACCAGTGAGCCAGTGTGTAACAGAAGGCATGGAGTTCTATAAATTTAAATTTAGCGTGTGTGTAAAACAAGTAACAAGTAAAGTACTATTTCACACAGATGTGGGGGAGAAACAGATGGGGCAGGGTGGTGAGGGAAAGGGAAGGGAAGATTTGTTTGGGTAGTGCTGGTGGGAATTACCCCCGTGAGGGGAAGTACCCCCGTGAGGGGAAGTACCCCCGTGAGGGGAAGTACCCCTGTGAGGATTTTCACAAAGATCAGAATGCAGTGACAATGCGAGTCATCTCAAGTCCAGCATTTGAGAAAAAAAAAATAAAGAATGTGTGGAAAGCATGGGACTGACCCAGACCCCCTGAATGTGGGTGTCAGTGAGGAGGCCTAGGTAATATATGGGGCCTTGGGTAGTATTTATCCCTGGGCATACAAATAGACTTTGAGTGCCCATCCCACAATGAGGATACTCTTTCAGCCGGGACTCTTGGGGGAGGGCCTAGGCCCTGCCTTGGATGAAATGACAGTTACTAGAGATCCACCTTGGAGGGTCTCACCGTCCCTGGAGATCGGAGTGGAGATTGGGTAGGAGACTGAGGGACCTGGTGGGGAGGGGGGAGGATAGGAAGAGGGGAGGGAGAGGGAGCTGGGATTGACATGTGAAACAAACGTGTTCCTAACCTAAATAAAAAAAAAAGAAAAATAAAGAATGAAAACCCCCTAAAATAGGGCTGAAGATGGAAATAACGCTATCTGAAAAAGGAGGTCTAGTGTATTTATTAAATATGCTTACAAGACAAACAGGGATAGAAGCTCTGGGAATGTGGCGGGCTTCCAAGAGAGAGTGCCTTTCCTTTTATCTTCACCTGTGCCCATGCCCTTCCCACGCCCCTTTGGGCATGGACAATACTGTGGGCTCATCCCGACATAGGGCTGGGATGATGGCTCAGTTGGTAGAGTACTTGCTGGGCAAGCTGGGGAAACTGAGTTCAGGACCCCAGAAGTTCCACCCTAAGCCAGTGCAAGCCTGTGTGTGATCCCAGCACCGTGGAGACAGAAGCAAGAGGCGCTGAAGAGTTCCAGGCTTTGCCAGCCTCTGTGAATCGTAGCCTTCCAGGCTCGGTGAGAGGCCCTGTCTCAGAAAACAAGGAGAAAGGTGTCTGATGAGCTTCCTTCCATACAACCCTCCACGTGAAAACATGCACGCTACACACAAAACGGGGCGGCTGTAGGCTAGTGATCTCTGCTTCTTGTTAAACATTGCCACTCTTCTTACTCTGATAAACACAATGGTATTTTGTTTTATGTCACTTGCACCGTGGTGGGTCATGGGATTCATTCTGATGCTTGTGAATGGAAGGGCTAAGTGTCACTCTGAGCTAAAGCACTTATGATTCGGATGGAGAGCTGACAAACTTCTCACCCCTGCGTGGACTAATAATTTTCAAGATTGCGATTGTCTCTCTTAGCTCCCTTAATAGAAATGAAGGACCTGAAAAGACAAAGTCTTCTGAGATTTTAAGAGTTATGTTACCATAGAACAGGTGGCCCAGCATGATGAGGCTTTTTGAATTTAGTGTGCTTTTTTAAAAAAAAATCAAAGACTACTGCAGAGTTGCTGACGAGGCCCTGGAGGTCAAATCCAAGACATGAGTTTGGCGCATGTCACACAACCGTGAGGGCTGGTGTTTCCGGTGGGGATTTTTTTTCTGAGTGTTGGGAAATTCTTCTATGGGGACAATGCAGCTAATTCATCAGGTAAATAATTTTAGCCTAATCTGCAATGCTTTGAATTTTGTGTCAAAAAGTGTAGTGATTTCTTTTAAAATTTAAAGTTTTTTTTTTCTTTTGCAGTGCTGGGATCCAAATCGAGGAGCCTGGGCATTCCAGATAAATACACTTACCACTGAGACACATCCTTAGAAAATGAGTATCTAGCATGCCTAACTCTTCATACATTTTCCTAAAAACTCAACAAATCAATTTATGAATTTTTAAATAACACATTTCAACTTAAATTTCCAACTTTAAGTTTCAACTTCCAATTATTTTTTGTGTGTGTGTAAGTTATCGGGCAAAACAAGAGTGAATCTAAATGCCTTTCTTCAGTAAACACCTTGAAATGTACGAAACACTGAATACTAACTTGGTAAAGACAAAAATCGCACAAGGACAGACACTGACTTCTTGTCAGCTGTCCTGAGTTTTGTTGGGAAGAGGTGTGTCGCAGGGAAATAATGTACACAGCTTCATGCTACATGGGTCAAGTCTTCCTGGCGTTGTTGCTGCTGGAAAAGGAGATAGAGGCCCTGTAATGCGATCTGTTTAATCCTTTCCCTCAGAAACGTCATGCATTTGATAAGTCAATGGTCACGATTGTTTAGACCTGAGACAGAGAGGTAGCAATCGGAGGGGAGCCAGGCTGGCGCTCTCCTGCAGACGTGCAGGTGTTCCCGTGCTCTCATCCAATGTGTACCTGTCACATCAATGGGAAGGAAAATAGACTTGATTGCATTGGCAGTTGCTTTCCACTAACAGAATCTGTGAAAGGCGCGCTTGTTCAAGGTTGAATTCCCAATTATTTCCTGCTGTAAGAAGCAAGATAAAACAAAGTCTCCAGTATCCAATGCAATTAGCTTTTATATTGACTTATTTCTTTTTATTTATTTATTTATTTTTTTTCCTTTTTTTTTAATTTTAAATAGCTTGTTTTACATGTCAATCCCAGTTCCCTCTCCCTCCCCTCCTCCCGCACTCCCCTTCCACCCTCCCTCCCACCCTATTGCCAAATCCTTCCACATAGGGGATGTCTAGAGTCTATCATTTTACTCTTGGTAGGGTCAAGGCACTCCCCTAAGAGTCCAGGCTGAGAGAGCATCTCTCTTTGTGCTATAGGCACATGAAGACAGATTGTATACCAGGGATAGACACTGATCCACAGCTCAGAGCCCCATAGGTTGTCCAGGCCTTCTCACTGACACTCACATTTGGGGGGTCCAGATCAGTCCCATTCTGGCCTCCCCCCTGTCGGTCTGGGGTCCAAGAGCACTCCCCTGTTCAGATCAGCTGTCTCTGCTGGTTTTGCCAGCCCATTCTTTGCCAATTTGCTCATCATTCCTCTCTCTCTGTCACTGGGTTCCTTGGGTTCAGTTCAGTGCTTAGTTGTGTGTTTGCCTCTGCTTCCATCAGTCCCAGGATGAAGGCTCCCGGATAGTTATAGACATCAAGTTCATTATCAGGAATGGGCATTCGCGGTGGTCCTTCCACTATTGCTTAGCTTGCCAATTGATGTTATACCTTTAGATCACTCGAGGTCACTCTGGTGCCTGATCTGTCTTCGATCCTATGATTCCCTCTTCCCCCTATTCTACCCCCACCCCCTCAACTTCCTGTTCCCCCATGACCAACTCCCTTCCTCTTTACCCCCTCTATTCTTCCCAGGTCCCACTACCCCCCTCGCCCTGTTCCCCATCCATTCAGAGGATCTTGTCTCCATCCTCTTCTCTTGGGTACTATGCATATATGCATATCTTTTAGGTTCTTTCCTGTTTCCCAGACTCTCTATCTGTGGAAGTGCAGACTGGCACTATCCTGATCCATATCTAAAATCCATATATGAGTGAGTACATACCATGTTTGTCTTTTTGCGACTGGGTTACCTCACTCATGATGGTTTCTTCCAGTGCTATCCATTTCCCTGCGAATTTCAAGATTCCATTGTTTTTTTCTGCTGAGTAATACTCCATTGTGTAAATGTACCACATTTTCTCTATCCACTCTTCAGTTGAGGGGCATCTAGGTTGCTTCCAGGTTCTGGCTATTACAAACAATGCTGCTATGAACTTAGTGGAGCAGATGCCCTTGTTGTATGAACCTGCCTCATTTGGATAAATGCCTAAGAGTGGAATTGCTGGGTCTAGTGGTAGATTAATTCCCATTTTCCTGAGGAATCTCCATACTGATTTCCAAAGAGGCTGTATGAGTTGGCATTCCCACCAGCAGTGGAGGAGTGTTCCTCTCTCTCCACATCCCCTCCAGCATAAATTGTCTTCGGTGTTTTTGATTCTAGCCATTCTGACAGGAGTAAGATGGTATCTCAGAGTTGTTTTGATTTGCATTTCCCTGATGGCTAAGGATGTTGAGCACTTTCTTAAGTGTCTCTTGGCCATTTTAGCCTCCTCTACTGAGAATTCTCTATTTAGCTCTGTACCCCACCTTTCAAGTGGATCCTTTGGTGTTTTGGAGACTTGTTTCTTGAGTTCTTTGTAAATTTTGGAGATTAGCCCTCTGTCAGATGTAGGGTTAGTGAATATCTTTTCCCATTCTGTGGCCTACCTTTTTGTCTTTTTGATTGTGTCCTTTGCCTTACAGAAGCTTTTTAGTTTCAGAAGGTCCCATTTGTTAATTGTTGATCTCAGTGCCTGTGCCACTGGTGTTATGTTTAGGAAGTGGTCTCCTGTACCAACTCGTTGAAGAGTATCTCCCACTTTCTCTTCTAAAAGTTATTTCTAATGTGAAAATCATATTCCCTTTGGAATTCCCTTTGGAAGAAAGATCAGGTGCTGTTCTGGAGAGGAGGGGGGTGAGTGCGTTTGTTTGGCAGCTTGTTTCTTTGTCTCTGAGATCAAAGCTTTGAGATCCAAAGTCTAAAGAGACGTGATGCAGGATATAGCAGAAATCATATTATGAAAACATTTAATTAATATATATTACATATTTTATTCTCTCTCTCTCTCTTTCTCTCTCTCTCGGTTTTTTGAGACAGGGTTTCTCTGTGTAGCCTTGACTGTGCTTAACTCACTCTGTAGATCAGGTTGTTCTTGAAGTCACAAAGATCCGCCTTCCTCTGCCTCCCGAGTTCTGGGATTAAAGGTGTGCACCACCACTGATAGGCTCACATTTTATTCTTCTTCCCATAAATGATAGTTTTCCGCCATGATTTAATGTTACCTTATCCAGCCAGATATCATGATTAATGCCTGTAATTCTAGATTGGGGGGGGCTGAGGCAGGCGATTGTTGCCAGTTTGAGGCCAATCTCATCTACACATTGAATTCAAAGCCTGGAAGGGCTATGGAGGGAGGCTCTGCCTCAAAAATAAAATAACTGTATTACTCAAAGAAAAGGAGGCACAATGTAGCATTATTCATAGCAACCAAAAGGTGGAAGCCACACATGTCCATTGACAGGTGAATTGGTAGACAAAATGAAATGTATACATACCATGTGTTCACCTGCAACAATTGAATTTAAATGAGTGATATAGGATGGGCGAACCCCAAGGATCTCATTCTACGGAAAGCAAGACACTGAGAGGACAGATATTGCATGATTTTACTTAATGAGGTATCCAAAGTAGCCAAATGCATAGAAACAGAAAATAGAATGGCAGTTGCCAGGGTCCAGACGAAAGAAGATGGACTCTCCATGTGTGAAAAGTAGGACAGCAACATTGCAAGTGCAGTGGACCAGGCCTCATCTGTCTGCGATTCATTCCTGGCTCCTCCGACTTCAAGCTCTGTAACCTTGAGCAAGTTGACTTATTACCCATTCCTGAATATTACTGTTTACACGTGCCAATAATACAACTTGTCTAGGATGAGGGTGTAGCTCAGTTGAAGAGCATGTACTTAGCACAATTCCCAGCTCACTGGGGTGAAAGAAAACCAATGAGATACTAATATAAAATTGATGAGTCTCACTTTGTAGCTTGTGGATTAAATGAGTTTATTCTGCATGTGAAAAAACCTACTCCAGTACCTGGCACACCGTCCTCAAAATGATCAGAAAAGAAATATGAGAATTAGTGAATGTAAATTTCCCAGTATGAATTTCCCAAACGAGAAGCCCAGGTGTCCCACCTTTACCACTAAATTGAATGTGGAATAGGGAATACAGGCCAATTACTCTATAAAGACAGACAAACCTTTTTTTTTTTTTTTTGGTCCATATGACTGGAAGCAAATTTCTCATCCCATTTTCTAGGTTCTCCCAGGTTTCCTGAGCTGTGCACTTGTCCCTGACACTAGTGACATCTGGGTCTAGAAATCAGTTGGAGCTCAGTTACTAAATGCACAGGTGTTTAAAAGATGGAAGTCGACTTAATAAACGGTTGAATGCAATTTGCCCTTTTTCTCTGAAAACTATACTGTCTTGAAGGTTTGGTTAGATTTTAGTGTCAGCATGATGCTCCCCGCTGATGTCTGGTTCCTTTTCTAGTCCACGTGCCAAGTTTGTGAACAGATACCTTGTACTGTCAGGTCAAGGGATGTTGATATCGACAATGGCCACTAACCTTTCTGAAACTCCAACCTTGGGTTGAAAGGTGGCAGGGAAGGTCATGGGCTTTAACACTTAAAATTCCTCCACAGAGGGAATCCAGATTCCAGTAACAACAATTCAGGCTGTGAATGCAGTGCCCAGTGAATTACTTAAAAAAAAAGAATTCTAAGCAAGGAGCACATTTATCTTACATTTCAACATTTTGAAAGGGGGATGGCTTTCTAATTAATGATACTTTACAACTGCTGTCACACAAGTGGCAGTTGTGACAAGGCTGTTAGTTCCTGTGCAAGCATGAATTTGATCACAGCTGTTTACAGCTAACCTCATGTCACAATAGCTGTGTGCATTGTTGGCCCTTCACAAATTGAGTCAAATGTCTACTTAAAATGTCTCCGAAAGGATTACATTGGGAATTGGCCCTGAAACAAGTCAATTCTGTGCAAGAAGACAGAAACAGCAGCATAAATTGAATGTTAGAGGAAGAAAATGCTTATTATTGCAATATTTGCAACCAACTTTTTATTTGCTTTCAAAGTAACAACAAATGGAATTTAAAATATGGGTGCCCATAAAGAGGTGAAGTCGTGGACATTTCCTTGCTTAGTTTATTGGTTATCTATTAGTACAATGACATCGCATAACCCCAACCACAAAGTCTTAGGTTTTAAACAACTTATCTAAAATCATGCAAGTGTCTGGTCAAGGTAAACTGTACCCAGATGACTTGATTTCTCAGGCCTCTATTTCCCATGGTTCCTAGACACCTCCTTGGATGAGCAGGCTAATGGAGTGTGTTTTTCTCTTTCTTATGATTGAAAACAAAAGAATGAGTGGAAAAAAGTTCTAATGGTGGGAGTTGTGACTTTCATAAAGACCCCAGAATTTGATTGAAAATGAAATAGTAACATGTTAATTGTATAACTGATGAGTCTCATCACACTGACTCTATTCATACTTCCACATATGCATCCTATCCTGATCATGATCATTTGCTCTTCTGATACCCCGAGCTCCCTCCCCATGTCCCGTCTCCCCAATCCTTAGTAGTTATTTTCTCTTGATAGTCCCCAGAGCCCCTTCTCTTTCTCAAGTGCCTGTTTTGCTAAACAAGATGTTTACTCCCAGCTGCATCCATTTTTGGTCAATGATGGATTCCATTCATCTTTATGGTTTAATAAGATTCTATTGTGTGTATACTAGATTTTCTTTGTCCATATATCACAACTCAGCTGATTCTATAGCTTGGGTGTTGGCAACAGTATTACAATAAACATGGGATGTAGGTATCTCTTTCGGGTGGTGACTTCATTGGTCTTGGATACATACCCAAGAGGAAATGGGTAGACCACATAGGGGTTCTAATTCTAGTTTTAGAGGAACCTTCATGCTTGTTTCCATAGTGACTAGACTCATTTACATGATCCCCCATAGTGTGTAAATATTCTTTTCTCCACTTCTTTGACAGCATCTGCTAATATTTGTTTTCAGAAACTAGCCATTCTAGCTGGGATGCGATGTGATGAAATCTTAGTGTAGTTTTGAGTTGCAAATGATATTAAGCTTTTCCCACATAATAATGGGCATTTATGTTTCTTTTCTGGGAGGAATCTAGTTAAAGCTGGGGAATGTGGGGACTAGGCAAGAGGCCCAGAAATAGCTGCCATCATTTGAGAATGCCAGAGGCGCTTCTATTACAATGAATAACATTTGTGATGGTTTAGAGATGCGCTGGAGGAAAATATTATGGTAGCATTTTCAAAATGAGCTAATGGTTTTTTTTTAATTTCACTCTTGCAAGAACTCATCTCCTTGGCAACAATGCCATACTTATATACTCAAGGGGTAGGGGAGATGATGGAATTACAACTAAAGAAAGAATTTATAAAGCATCGTATATCATATAACTGTTTAAATTCATCTTCCCATCCTTGGTGGAATGTGGGGAGTAAATAAAAGCGGGACTTGAACATAGAGGGCAATACCTGCCTGTCTTGAGTGGCATCATGGTAGAATATGTAAACCAAACACCCAGTTACAATAAAGAGTCAGAGAACAGGGGGTTGCTGAGGAGCATGCCTTCCCAGATGTATTTTTGGTAAATTATGGGAACTCATGAACTTATTAGGATAATTTTAATTGAATAAAGTAAAATAAGATTATAAGGAAAACCAAGTATGTTGAAATAAGACAACTGTCGAGATAACATAAAAGACATTTGAACACAGTAATATAAATGTCTTATGTTTATGTATTACCTAAGATTTACCCATGGGTCTTATTACTATAAAATGAAATCAGAGGTTAGTGAAAGGATGATGTAGTACTTTTTACATGCAAATTCACCAAAAGGGACTATAGAGCTGGTATAGCAATTAAGAACCCTTGCTGCTCTTGTAGAGGACCTGAGTTCAGTTCCCAGCAACCCACATGACCAGTAACAACTGGCTATAACTCTAGTTTCAGGGTATCTGCCACCCTCGCTTGGCCTAAGGTGCTGTTTCATGCATGAACTCAGGAAGGCTCACATATATACATGTAAATAAAAAATAAATAGTTAAAGGGGGAGGAGAAATCCACATTTGCCAAGACTCTTAATTTACTACAGAAACTTGGGTTTCTGTGGTTTTCATGTTAAGATTTCATGCACCAATGATAGTCTAACTCCGAGTCATATGTAGTTTTATACTTGGTGTAAGTAATGGGGTATATCTAGGCAAGAGATGCTGCAACAAATACCCCGACCCACCATTCCCATAAACGGTAGAAAGAGCCCAGAAGTTCCTCATGGCTTATTGGAAGTGTAGAAGGGTTTTTTTTGAGCAAGTGAAGTTGTAGGGACAGTGGCCAAATGTCTAGCTACAGCCTGTTGTATCCAGTAAGTAATTCCCTAATGAGCCATCTAAACAAGCTAAGTACAGACATTTGTTGAAAGATGAAGAACATCTTAACTATCTGGACTCATTTTCATATTTCTACTACAAGTTTTACTCTATATATTTAGCGAAAATATTGATTATTAACAGATGAGTTCGAGAGATAAAGGCTGAGTGTGTCTGTAAAACCATTGCAAACAAAGGCTATAAATGAGCAGTGATACTACGGATTGTCAAATGTAAGGATTTTCATTATTATGTTTTGACAGAGGATCTCAGTTGATGTCCTAAATGCTGATTATTCATTTGTTCTTCCATTTACTGAGTATCATGGTTATCACTGAATAAAGACATAAAGTGCTGTTTTTAATATCTAAGTAGGACTATTGGAGAAGGATGTAGGTACCCACCTCAATGAGTTGGATAGTGTTAAATAAGGCAAGGCTGTAGTAAGGACATGAGAAAGAAACCTCATTATAGTCTTAACCTCTAGTGTTAGTAATCTCTCCTCATATTACCTCCTCTACTCTACCCTCCATTCCCTACCTCAATTTAACCCTTTTTGTTCCATCACTCCCCTTTAAATCTTTACGTTGCTGGGTTCTGTCTTCATTGCGTAGACACATACATTCTCATCATCCATTTATCAGTTGAGGGACATCTAGGCTGTTTCCATTTCCTGGCTCTCATGAACAGCGTAGAGATGAGCAAGCATCTCTACACTAGGGTACAGAGACACTGGGTGGTATAGCTACATCATGTGGTAGATCCACTTCTAGGAGAAAGCTCCACACTGGCTCCCACAGAGCCTCCGCCACTTTGTACTCCCACCAGCAGTGAGTGAGTGTTTCTCTCCCACCACTTCCATGCCAGTACTCATTGTAATTTTGTTTTCTTTTTGATCTTAGCCCTTCTGGTTGAGTTAAGCTAAAACTTCAACAGTTCTGTTTTTTCCTAGTGGCTAAAAAATGTTAGTTAGCCACAAAATAGTCCTACCCTTAATGCAATTCGCTATTGGACATTTTAATTAATTCTCTCGACTGTTCTATTCCTCCACTTAGAGGACTTGCAAACGTTACAGCCAGCAGCTCTTGCTCAAAGCTATGCCTCCCTCCCACACTGACCATCTTCAACTTCCTATACTCAAAGGCCATTGGATTATATCAACAGAGCCAACTCACCTCAGCTCTTAATTCATCAACTCAGATCCCCATGCCTTCCTATTGAGATTCTTTCTTCTGTCATAAATAATCCCTCTCCTCTCCATGAATCTTTGCAGCGTGTCCACAGTGTCACCAAGTCTACATATTCTCTGATATTCTGGCTAAATCTCTTGACCTCCAACTGGTCCTTGGCAGTTCTCAGCCATGCCGTTGTCCCAACTCCTGAAAAATCTGTGGACAAACCAGGCGGAACAGATGAAAATAATAACGGGCAATCCTTTGTTTTTCTAACAAATCCTGAAGGGAAAGTTGAGTTCTATCCCCAGGCACCACAGTGGACTAATTTTATGTAGCCGAGAGTGGTGGTAACGAGGGCTATTCTTGCTAGAGAAAACTCAAATACTGCCTAGCTCTTAGACCTCCTCTGTCTGATAGCAGTTTAAATACAGTTGCACGTTTTCTAATCTGCCCTCTAGGTGCTGTATGTCTCACATTCTTCTTTAGTGTTGAAGAGCCAAGACTGAGACACGTCCACTTGTGTGGGGGCCTTGGAAATGTATTTTACACAGGGACTCAGGCTGTCAGCACACGGCCCTCTATCCATGGGAGGCAATCCGTAGCTGGAGTGCAGAGTGAATCATCTCTTGTTCATTCTGTAACATCTTTATGGAATTTAAAGATGTTTGAAATCTCCTGCTTGACTCCAGTAAACAAAAGAAAGGGGCGTTTGCTCTGGGTTAGTGCCCTTCCACTTCTCGTCTGTCCCTAAGTGTCTGATCCTTTTTTCTTTAGAAAATTATTCCTCTTCTCCTTGGTGAGATTGTCAATCAAGGTACACTGACTTCCTCTTGGGGAAAACGGTCTTTCCTCTGGGGATGCTGGATGTGTGGGCTTTGAGTCTGAAGTTAATAGATAGAAGAATAAGAAAAGCAAACAAGTCAACAAAACCAAAACAAAACAAAATAAAAAAAAACCGAGCCTCTTTGACAGTGTCACCTGCCATCAGAAGTGTGCTGACAAAACCGTCACTCAGCTTTCCTGAGCTGAGCTCTGCCCACTCACCGTGTGTCACCCATGGCAGGGTCATCACAGGTTTGGGACCTCCCTATGTCCTGATGACGTTTGGTTAAATTGCCCACGACTTTCTTGTATCGTTTATATAGAAATACTGCATGTAAAAATGTCTCCAGTTAGATTATGGGCGATTTAAGCAGTAATTACTTACTCTGAATCTACCTCTAATCTCGATTTCTTAACACACAGATATTCGTTTTAATATTCAGAGTAGAATTCTGAAGGAGCTATTTAAACATAAGTCAGTACTCTGAGGGAAGCAGTTTTATGGGACCGCAGTTGTATGCAGCAACAGCACTGTCCCTGCTTAGCAGAGCAACAGGACAGTGTATTCAGCCACCCCTACAGCCAAACATGTTCTAGAACTGGAACAGGGAACAAGTGACAGGTGAGTCATAGGCAGTGCTTTCTACTTCCTCGAGGAAATATAATCCAGCCTGGTTTTCCTCTTCGTTTCCTCTGCTTAGAGAAAGAAATGTTCAGAAAAAGATTGTTCACTCCAGGGAAGAGCAAGAATGGCCATGTAAAGACCAAGGTGGCAGAAACTCAGCCTTGTTCTCAGGGAAGCCATGGGAGTCACAGGTATTGAAGAACCGAACAACCCCTCAGTTCTAACCAGCCACTTCCGAAGGAAGATTTATTCAGTATGGCTATATCTTCTGATTTTACCAGAAGTCATTAGAAAAAAAATGTTTTTAATTAAATGTATAGTAATATCTTTATTATATACTAAAATGAATTTAAAAAATTAATTCAGTCTTCATTCCAAGGAAACCAATGCACCCTTTCCTCTTAGGCTACAAAGAAACAAAGTCCTGATATTTGATGCAAATTTGAGGTCTTCAAAACTCTTAGGAGAATACTATTGCAATCTGTTTTTAACACATCAAACTCATAAACCCTAACAGGATGCCTCGTTGTGGAATGAATACCATGCAAGAGATACCATGCAAGGTCCTCGAGGGCCTAACTTTGCTGGAGGATGCATGGGGATGGTGTGAAGCACTCTTCGGTTGCTGGTAGCCTGGGAGCCCAGGTGTACTTTGATAGGTTGTCAAGGCAAAACACTCTGCGGGACTGTGCATTTAGATGCTCTGTGATGTGTAAGAACAGACTAAGGGGCACTTATTGTTGATACAAGTTTATGAAGCTTACTCATGTCAGGTCCTGCAGTCCCCAGAGCTTAGCAGTGCTGTTATGCCCATGTCACATCACTTTGGGGACACTACAATTCACTGCTGGATTCCTGAGGAACATCCACCATCTTGTCACGGAGGACCTCCAAGCTTAGAAGAGAGTAAGATTGACACCACTGTCTGGATGCATTAGGCAAACTATAGTGGCTTCGGACAGGCAGTTTACAAAATATGTCAGCCTCACTTATACCACACACATACACACACACAGAGACATACACACACACATACAGAGAGAGAGAGAGACAGAGAGAGACAGAGAGAGAGGAAATATATATGGTAAATCTTATATGGTAAGTCTATATCTGTATCTTTATCTATATCGGAAAGTGGTATTGTTTTTCCCTGTGACTCCCAAGTTCAGGTCAAAAGTAGTTTCTGACACACGTTGCTTTTAGGAAAAGCTGGAAGTAGAAGGGGAAACCAGAGTGAGGAACTCAATTGCCTTAGGAACAAGATTAAAATAATCGTGGAAATGAGTTAATACAGCACAAAAATCACCAAATGTTACAACACTGTTAGTCTCAAAACACAGGATATAGAGGTCCAAGTGTGTCTGTGAACGCAGAACAGTCTGCTTGTTCATGGAGATCACTGTTTCCGTAAACACTATCATGCTATTGGAGAATTTTCTAATAAACCTAAGTAGGAGGAAGGAAAGGTGGGGAGGGGCGGACCATGGTTAGTTTAGATGGGAGTCAGTTATGCTGCGGCAGGAGAGTGACTGCAGACAGTGATGACCTGCTCTGTATCCAAGGCAGGAGAGTGACTGCAGACAGTGATAACCTGCTCTGTATCTGAGGCAGGAGAGTGACTGCAGACAGTGATGACCTGCTCTGTATCTGAGGCAGGAGACTGACTGCAGACAGTGATGATGACCTGCTCTGTATCTGAGGCAGGAGAGTGACTGCAGACAGTGATAACCTGCTCTGTATCTGAGGCAGGAGAGTGACTGCAGACAGTGATGACCTGCTCTGTATCTGAGGCAGGAGACTGACTGCAGACAGTGATGATGACCTGCTCTGTATCTGAGGCAGGAGAGTGACTGCAGACAGTGATAACCTGCTCTGTATCCTCTGCTAAAAGAAAAGACTTTGGTAAATGAAAAATATTTGAGGGTCTAGATGTGCTTAACCTGGTTCAAATGGTATGCAACGGATTTGTGTATTGAATATTATCTAGTACCCCACAAATAAAGGCAAACTATGTTGTATATTGAAATAGAGGCAAACTATGGTTTTGTGTGGTCAGGTAAAAGTAAATCTTAAATGCCAGAAAGTTAAGCATAGTTAATTTGGATTCTGGAAATACACAAGCTGGGCGTGAAAGAATATGATTGCTTGTCTTTGCTGTCCCCTGACAGATCCAAGCGGTGCAGTGTGTATGTGGGATCTGATGTGTTTTTAAATCCGGATTGTTCTTGCTCTCTTCTATTATTGGGGATAATATACTGTTTCTATTAGAATAAATCTGACTTCTTATCAATGCTGAACTTATACAAGTCAGTTATTTGAGTAGATAATGACAATGAAGAAATTATTATGTCCCTTATGTCACTTTAATTTTAATGACATCAAAACACCAGCTAAATTGTGGATACCAGTTATTTTTGTTATTGTTCCAGGAAACTAAGGTGAAAATATTATTTTAAGTTGGCTGAATGTCCTGAGTTCTGTAGGTGGAGCTGTCAGAACTTTAAACTTTATCACAAGCTCTGCATTTTTGCCACCTAGAGGGACCATCTTGTTTTAATGTGGCCTCAGACAGCAATAGAGAGGAATCTGCAGAGAGGACTCTGCATGCTTCAGAGAGGGATGGAACCTGGGAGAGGCTTTCAGAGGGATGAGGAAGGACTGCAGACTGACTGCCAGTGAATAAAGAAACTTGTGTGAGGGAAAAAGACAGAAATTAAGAAGGCCCAAACACAGCTTGACTAGTTTCTGGGCTGGAGCAGGAAAGCAACAACAATAGACCATGTTGCTCAGCAGCGGTAAGTAAGTCCCTCGGGGATTGCCCTGAGTGGCCCATCCCACAAGGGTCATTACGGTTACCAGAGGCTGGATACCCTGAGCAGAGATAACGAGAGAGAGTTTCCCAATGTGTGGACCAGCAAGAAGTGGATGAAGCTCAACTAGAGAAATTATCCTGCTTTTCTTTGTCACAACAGTTAGATGGACAGGGTGTTTATAGAATGATTCAGTCCAACTCCCCCTCCCTCCCTCCCTCTTCCCTCCCCCCCTCATCTTTATAGAATCCTCATTCCCTTCAAACATGAAAACAGAAATCAATAAATAAAAACATCCCGGCTTTTCTGCAGACTCATTGTCTCCCAAAGAGATTAAGTATCTCATTTCTAGGTCTAAAGAAAAAGAGTTTATTTTACCGGAGATTTGATGTGGGTCTGTTGCAGAGTGAGTAAGCAGGGGGAGGGAGGCTCTGAAGGCTTACTGACATTTATATGCTGTTGCAGTTGGTACCCGGCTTAGCTCTTCCCATCTTCTCCAGGAAGCGTCTTTATTCCTCCCGACAGCAGGATTAATGGCTGTGCTCAGGAGAAATCCAAGTGTCAAAAGTTTTCTTCTTCTTGCAGCACCCCCACCTTGTGCCATGTAAGTTTTTCCCTCCCCTAGGTTAGATGGAATGTTCTTTGGAGTTCTTTGTGGCAGCCCACAGAACCTGAAAGCAAAATTGCAAAGGGATCAAAGAGTGCATGTCATCCATCCTCGAATTCTGTGGGAAGACATTCTAGTCTGAACTTCAGCAACACTGTCCCCACGGGTAGCAGGTCTTCAGGGTCCTGCCACTTTTGACACATAGAAGGCACCTCCAGAGCTGTTCAAAGGAACGTCTTTGCTCTTATTTTCATCATCTACTTATTTACCTTTGGCTTGCAAACTAGGTAGTGACAGCTTTTGATGCTACTCCAGACCGTAATCGTTGCTGGTGTTCAGTGAGGGATGTCTGTGATGTGAAAAATGTCTGAGAGCTGAGAAAGACTGAGGTGTCCTTCTCCAATCTCTTTGATTAAGCAGCCATGGTCTGGACAGCTTGGATCTTCTCAGCACCATCTGCATGATGGAGGACTCTCCTGTCTCCTGTGCGACCTTCATGAGCACACTAAATCCAAGTAAGCAGTGTGCAGGACCGAGGCTCACGGAGTATGCATCCTGCACACTCCTGCCTAGAGAAGTAAGGAGTGCCACGCCTTTCCATGTAGCCACGCCTCCCTCTCAGCCTCTTTTGCACTTCTGCACAACCCCAAGGCACCCATTTACAGACTTGGAGTCTGACTCAGGAACCATTGTCTAGAAGAGGGACCCAGAAGTCAACACACCATTTCTCTGCACTGCAGCAGTGAGGTGAGGCTTGAGCACATCTGTGCATGCCCATCCATTTCAAAAGTGAGGGGGAGCTAAGTGGATAATGAGGAGTCATTCAGTAGAATGGAGTCGTTATCTTGAGGTCTGAAAGGAAAAAAATACCTAGCGTAAATTGGAAATAAAAAAGAACCTATGTGAAGTATAATCGCATAGATGTCATTCATTCCCAATACTTAATGTAAATAGCAGGATGAAGGATGATCGGGAAGGCTGGTGTCTAAGCCCTGGGGCTGGAGGATGGCTCGTTCAGTAAAGTACTGGTTGTCCAAGCAGGAGGACTCACATTTGGATCTTCAGTACCCATGTGCAATGCGGGGCATAACTGCACATACCTGCAGTCCCAGCATGGGGGTGGCGGGAAGGAGAGACAGGTGACTCCCTGGAGCTCACCGACCAGCAAGTGAAGTGTAATTGGTGAGCTCTAGATTCAAAGAGAGACCTTGTTCCAGAGATTAAGCTGGAGAACGATGGAGGAAGGCCTATGACATTTACCTCTGCCCTCGACAGGCATGGGCACACATGCCTGGGCACCTATGTGCACCCACATACATGAACATGTGCACACAGAGACACTATACATATAAATAAGTATTGTCTACCATTAACTGATTGAAGTGTTTGAAGGTCTCAAATAAACACAGGCCATCAAATTAAAGAACTTTTTCTTTCTCGAGGCAATAAAAATAACACGCACAAGACAATTAGCATAGGGCACGTAAAATAAAGCGAAGTTAAAGTCTAGGAGAGCTGGAGTGCCATCAGCCAAGGGAAAACGGAAATGGTATGTGATATTCACATTGTAAATTAGAATATAATGAGCTGTAGTTACTTTGCAAATGTCTAGCGCAGTCGCATAGGAAAAGCATTTGCCAAAGCAGATTCATGGTTGGATATTTAGTCATGGGCACTGTGTAATAAATATTTTCTAAAGTTAAGAATCGAAAGGTACAAGGAAGGGAGTTCATAGATCATTGTGAGCATTGGAAGAGAGATGCCAGAATCCTTTACAGGACATACACCTCAGGAAAGCCCATTTCCTGGCTAGAATGACGGCTTCTACCCCAAACATCCACACTGTCACTCAGTTCCAGGTGGGATTGGGGTAGCTCACAGGTCACAGGCGAAAGGACTGATGTTGAAGGGAGTGCTGTTTTGCTTTTTTCTACTTTCTACTCTGTCGGGACACAACAACACAATTCTACACCGTCTCCATTGCAGAGAAGCAGCATGACATACAAGTACTGGTGACTTGATCTTGGATTGCGCAGTGTCCAGAACAGTCAAACCAAAATTTCTTGTCATTCACAAATCAGCACCGTGTTATAGGAACACTAGGTATGTTCTGCCCCCTGGAGGCTGCCTGTGTTCTCAAGTCAGCAACTCGTCTCTCTAGCTATTCTCATCTTTGCGACTCTGACCTGACTGTCTCCTTCCCACAAGGCCAATAGGACTGCACTAGTACTTCCTGGGTAAATAAGAACCTTCTTTAATGTCAGAACCAATAACTATAAGACAACGGTCAAGAACATATGTTGGGTAACATACTCATAGGTTTCTTAAGGGATTGGCATGATGTAGATGCTACCTGAATTCCCCAAACAACTGAAATGCAGGCCTTCTTCATACGATTTTATTCTCAGCAAGCACAAACAATAATGCCAACATCAGCAGAATACTGTGAATCCATTTTACTTATACATGTATTTGCACATGAACATTTAACAGGCTATTCCAGAAAATACTGTGAAAACAACTGTCTTACCTCTATAATAGTGGAAATATAATACTGGTGGGATATTCAGAATACGGTAATAAATAACCTCTGTGTATATTTGGGTTTGTTTTCCTTGTTTTATCTTTGAAATAGGTCCTCACGCTGTTGCTCACTTTGCCCTTGAACTCCCAATGCCATCTTAATCTTCAGAGTGCTAGGATTATAGACACACACCACCACACACAAATGGAAATGGCTTGAATAAAATACTTGTGATTTGAGGATTTCATTTACTGTGCTACACGAATCCATTTCTCTGTGGATAATTAAGAATAGGCAGTCTATATAAACCCACAGCCTCCCCTGGGGTGAACTATGTACACCTGGGGTGATGAGTTACCGAGTGAAGAACAGACTATCAATAACAGTTTTACATTTTTGAAACAATAATTTCCTTTTACTCCAGACTGAAGCAACATGCCGTGCAAAATTATACATCACGGAGCAGCAGCTGGGAAGCCAACATACATCACTATCAATACTGCCGCTATGAAAGCCAAAAAAATTACCATATCTAACAATAATTTTTACTTTAACAGTGAGAATAGAAGACACAGAAAGAAACCAACTTATTCGTACAAATGGCTGGTTTAACACACAGTGAACAAATTGATGTGTAAATTGGTTTTGATGAATGCGTGTGTTAAGTGTGGTTATTTATTATGAATCCATTACATAAATTGGTTGCAAAGTTATAATAAATGTTCTTTATTAATCTTAACTTCTCTGTGGCTAGCAAATGACTCAAGGCAATTATCCTTCAAGGGCTGGTGGGCTAAGGGAGGCAGGTAAGCCGTAGAGCACAGAGAGAATAAATATGAGCATCTGCTTAGCCTTTTACAAGGGGAAAGGATATTTTTCATAAAGCCTCCTTTATCTCCAATTAAATCCTTCAAGTTACTGGCTTCTGATGTTTTTGTAGTAACAGCTGTTATAGGTGTAAAAAAATCTTACATATTATATTTTTCGTGGTATGACATTTGAAACTTAAATGGAAGGCGGAGATTTTAATCTTGAGGAATTGACAGTTTAACCGAGGTGGCCCAGGCATTCTTGGCTGCAGCGTTAGCATTTTCTCTGTGGGCCAGTGACAGATTGGAGACCCATTTTAAGTGTTATCCTCTTCAGCATGTGACATAAATAACTGGAAGATACTGTCATTCTGGGAAAGAAAATGAAACATTTCTTCCAGGAATACTGCCATGACCCGACTTACAGTCAAAAACCAAAGAGGGAAGAGTTGTCTGCAGGGGCAGCCTGGAGCTGGAGCTCAGTTAGGAGGGCGTATCATTTGTAATTACCAGGTTTCAGACCTTGACTTCTCCCCTCTCTGTGTCTCTGTCGGGCTGTCTGTCTGTCTCTCTCCTGCACCTATGCTTTTCTTTTCTTCAACTCTCTTTATCTCTCAAGGAGTGGAAAGTATCACCAGGAGAAAAAAAATAATTCATCTTGTTAAAGGGCAGTTTAAGGCTGCACAAGGGCCTGATACAGACGTCAGTATAGAAAATAATACAATAAAATTGCAGTTTATAGTCTAGTTGTTTTGCTCTCAGGTAGCACAGTGGTTTGTGGCATTCCTTGTCTGTCTCTATTTCCGGGCACGTGCTCTATTCTTAGACCCACAGCGCATTGTAAAGCGCTGATGTGAGCTTCAAATCTCCCGTTGGATGCCGAGTCAGCAGACCAAGAAAAAAAATGGAAAGAAAAAGCATCTATTTTCCTTTTAAGGACATTTGCTGGAAGTTGCACGACTTCCGTGTCTATGTAATTGGGAAGATCTAAGTCATGAGAGACCAGGAAATGGAGTCTTGATTCCAGCTGGCTATACTCCCAGTCAAATATTGTACATGCTAGGACTTCTCATTTCTGCTCAGAATACAGAATTCTATAAAGAGCATCATCATTCCAGTTGTTATGGCAATAACCACCACAGCAGCAACCCCCAAGCCTCCAAAATTCCGTAGCTGTTCTTGAACTTACCACAAAGCTCATAACTACTAGCTAGTCTGAAAAGTATGGAAAGACATGGACAGATACCATAGAAGACTGTTGGACCTAAAAAGGCCTGGACACAAGGCCTAGCAGAACTTCCTGAGCCTGGCTAGAATTTGATAGCCTGTCTTCACAAAACTGTCTCTGCCCAGCTACTGCTAACATGGTGGAATATTACTGGCCCTTACATCTCACCCAATCCAGAGGTCTCCACCCTCTTTCTCACCCTATGTAAGCAATAAAGCAAGACTCTGCTTCGATAAGACTCCTAACTCAGTGAGGTTTCTCTGGTAGCTAGGGGGGGGGGTTCTGAGTCCTCGACACTCACCATCTGGCGTAGCACCAAGTTAGGATCGGCAGGACCGGGCCTTACACAGCCCTACCTGCCAGAGGACCCGGCAGAAGACAGCTATGGTACCTGAACATCCAATCACCTGAATTAGATTCTATTACAGGAAAGAAATATTAGCTTAACGCTTAAATACGACAACATTTGGAAGGAGAATTTTGTCATTTCCAATTTTTGCTTCTGCAAAGACTCAGATGATTTCAGGAAATACTAGCAGTGGCCCTTGGAAAATGTTCCTGGTGATGCAGTCTTGGAGGGATGCAGGCATTTGGGGAGAGCCTGGATTATCTTTCTCCATCTTTTCTATGACTCCAAAGCTCGATTTTGGAGAAAGGGCAATGAGATGTGATGCTATTGGACATCAACTAAAACCCATTGATATTGGGCAAAACAATAAATAACAAGGAAACACCAACAACAAAATATTTGATTCTTGACAGAGGATTAAAACACCTTGATGGACTCGGTCCTATAACTGGAACTGAAACGTGATCAACGAGAAAGTTTTGCCAGGGCTCAGGAAATTAGTGCTTGCTGGTGACTTAGACAGGAAACAACAGATGGTACCCTAACTCCCTGTTCTTTTCCCAACACACTAAGTATTGAGTAACAACTGCTGTGGAATGTGACTGAGTTGTCAGAAATGCACAAATTTGGGAAGTACAAGCAAGAAGACGAGAAATTCAAAGTTATCCTCAGCTACGTAATAATTTTAGGAGGAGACTGGGCTACACAAGGGACTCTGCCTCAAAACCAAACCAAAAAGCAACGCACAGCAGTCAACACTGAGAGTGGTCTGCTGAGGGTGGTCTGCTTCTTGAAGAGGAGCGAGAGTACTGACACAGACCCTTTGGATGTACAGCCAATAGGAGATCCAAGGCTGAAGCAAGAAAACAAAAGAGCAAACTCACACCATCATAGTGTATTCCAATGGCTAGAAACCAAGGCACAGAATCAACATCTTGGGAAATGTTCATAAATAAAAGCCTTAGAGGAGATTATTTCAGTATTATAGACTCAAAAACACTCT